CCCCGTGGAGCGAGTCTCGGGACAGGAGTCCTCACCCTTAGAGCTCACCCCGATGGAGGAGGCCGCTCTCTGGGCATGAGACTTCAGCATCACTGTCCCCGATCGGGAGCTCCCCGGTGCAGCGAGCAGAAGGACAGACGTGGGCCTGCCCACATCCCCTTTCGCGGGCGTGGGACCAGGACACGGAGGACGGCACCGCCCTCTTCTTACTTCAGGCTCTTCTGACGTGCGGCCGAAAACTATTCGCGGCCCCTTTAAGCAGGCTGCCAATGGACAGCTCCATCGGCCTTTGCGCGGCGCGGCGCGCGCCGGGAATTGGAGTTTTTAGAGCCGGTCGGCCAGTCTCCTTCCAATGGGCGCGTAGCTTAAGAGCCAGAAAACCGCAACAGCCTCGGAAAGAGAAGTCACGCTTTGGCCAAAACAGGGCCAGAAGGGCGCCTGTCTGCACAGCACGCGGAGAGCCAGAGCCTGGGCGAGCCTCGCAGTCGGCCAAAGTGAGCGTCAGTATACTGCGCCTGCGCAGAGAACCTGCGGCTGGCCGCGGCAGCGTTCGCCTGCGCAGCGGAGAGCGGCGTGCGCTTGCGCAGAAAGTTGAAGCCGCTTCGGCAGCGTTGGGGAGCATGGTAGGTGGCAGGGTTTGCGCTTGGCAGGTGCGGCCAGAGCGGGGCGTGGAGGTCACCGTCTGATAACTGAACGGAGGAGGCCGGGTGTCCCCGCCGGGGTGTTGGGGGAGGTGCACGGTTGACTTGGAGAGGCATGGCCCTGCCTGGAGGGTGTGAGGAGCCCAGCTAGGTCTCAGGGAGGTCGACGGTGCCCTGGTCGGCCCAGTGCTGACCGGTCCGAAGGGCGGGACGGGGCTGGGAGTGCGGCTGGTGACACCTGCCTGATGGGCGGAGCCGATCCTCGTCTGAGTGGACAGTGACGCCGACTGGGGCGGAGCTGGCCGAGCCCTGCAAGCTCTTCGCCCGCGGAGGTTTCAGGAAGAGGTGGAAGGAATCGGTCCCAGGGAGGTGGTGCGCGCGAGGCTCTGCGGAGCGAGGATGGTTTGCGATCGCGCAGCTGGCGCCGGGAGAGCATGTCACCAATTGTCCGCTCTCTTCCAAAGCCACGATCAGGCTGGGGATCCTGGAGACGGGAGAGACGGGAGAGACGGGCAGGACGCCAAGGGAGAGAAGGGTTAGCCTAGTAGAGCTGTAGGAAGGCCTAGACCGCGGGAGGGGCGCCTGACAACCCCATTGCTTGGACCTCGGGGTAACCATGCTCTGAGAGGCTGCGGGCGGATGGGACCCCAAGAAGGCAAGTTTTGTCTCTGTCCCTAGAGCGATGTCCGCTTGTCTTGGAGTTTGTGTAGAGGAAAAGCAGAGGGCTGAGGACCTCTTAGGGAGGCAAGAGGGCATGGAACGAGTACCGAGAAGGGCGAGGCTGGAAAACTAGAAGGTATGAACCCAGAAACCAAGAAATGATTGAGAAGAGCAGCTGAAGGACTCTTCTGACCAGCGTCTAGCAGACCCAGCGGCCACCTATGCATGTGAACAGGAACTTAACTTGGGAAGCTGAAGATCCGGAAGCGTTTGGATTTGACAACACACATTCCAGGCCTGCACATGCCAAAGCACAGTCACCGTAAAATGGGCCACAGGTTTATTGGACCAAACGGTTGTCCTGTGAGCCCTTTGTAAATTGACCCTAAGAGGAGGTATTTTGCTTAGCGTCCCTGGGAGGACATTTTACAGATGCTTTTTAAAATCTTATGTAGGAGCACCCTTGTGCCTAAATTTTGTGTTATTCTTCACAAGATAACACGTAAAGTGTTTGAAGCTTTTTCATTCCAGCTTCTGATGTTCAGAAGTTCCTCTGTTCCATTTCATGCCAGCTTCTGCTGTTCAGGTCACCTGTTCCGTTCCGTGCCAGCTTCCACTGTTCAGAAGGTCCCCTGTCCTGTTTTCTGTGTATCTTACTGATTATCACTGAAACAATTCTGAACAGCTACTGTGAGGCACTGTGCTGAGCTCCGTGGGAGACTATGAAAACTAATCAGTGGTTTCAGGCGCTTTTAAGGATGATCTACTGTAATTGTGGTTTTGAAACATCAGAAATCGGTGCAGATGAGCCATTGGAAACGATAGGCAGAGTATGCACCCAAAAGGGTGTACCTGAAGGAGTTCCATTAGTTTCTTCTTGAGATCGTTTTCTTAGAATGAAATGTTTTATTGCAAGTTCAATTGACCAGAAGGGTTAGCACAAGTTAAATATACCGCTCCGGGCTGAAGTGATAGCTCAGCAGTTATGAGTCATGGCTCCTCTTCCAGGGGATCTGAGTTCAGTTCCCAGAATCAGCATCAGGCAGCTTAATTGCCTATAACTCCAGCTTCTGATGTACTCTTCTGGCATCTGTGGGGTACCTGTGTGTGTGTGTGTGTGTGTGTGTGTGTGTGTGTGTGTGTGTGTCTTTTACCCAGGGTCACCCTCACTCCTTAGGAGTCAGAAGACATCTATGGAATCAGCTCTTCCCTTCGGCCTTTATGTGGATTCTGGAGATTGGCTGCAGGTTGTCAGCCTTGTGCAGTGAGCACACTGAGCCCCTTTGCCAGGCACTTTGGGGGGAGGTAGGTTTCACTATGTAGCCTTGTCTGGCTTGGAACTCATTGTGTAGACCAGGCTGTCTCTATCCTCTCCTGCCTCTCAAGTGCTGGGATCAAAGGCTTGCACTGCCATGAAGGCATCAGGATATCATTTTTTTTCAAGATTTATTTATTTATTATGTGTACAGTGTTCTGTCTGCATGTTGCCTACAGGCCAGAGGAGGGCATCAGATCTCATTACAGATGGTTGTGAGCCACCATGTGGTTGCTGGGAATTGAACTCAGGACCTTTGGAAGAACAAGCAGTGCTCTTAACCACTGAGCCATCTCTCCAGCCCCAGGATATCATTTTTTAATGCCCAAGTCTGTACAGACTAACATCAAACAAAACTGTGCTGCCAACGCCTTGCCCTTCCTTCATGGATGTTGCTGCGGCTCCTGCTGGTCAAGCATCTTGGTCCTCCCTTGAGGTCTGCAGTTGGTGGGGTTATCCTATCCAGAGAGTTCAATTTTAATAGATTGAAGGGAGATCTGTTTATTTCCCTGTCTGCGCTCTGTCTACTCTTTAATGTGGAGGTCATTCAGCACCTCTTAAGTGCCTGATGTATACTTGGCATCTGTCACATATACTCTTTGCACTAGATCAGTGGTTCTCAACTTGTGTGTCGAAATCTCTTTGGGAGTCAAACAACCCTTTCCCAGGGGTCACAAATCAGATATCCTGCATATCAGATATTTACAATTCATAACAGTAGCAAAATTACAGTTATGAAGTAGCAGCAAAATAATTTTATGGTTGGGGTCACCACAACGTGAGGAACTGTATTAAAAGAATCACAGCATTAGGAAGGTTGAGAATCACTGCAGTAGATAAAGCTGAGTTGTCATACACTGGGAGAGGCCTACAGAGGTGACTTCAGGAGTCATATAGCTCAAAACCAGGCATCATCCTGTCTTCCAGATGTCTACAGTTTCTTGATGTGTAACTCTGTGATATTACACTTGTCACATGGTGCAGCTGTCCCAGGGGCTATAACTGGTAGATAGTCTTAGAGCTTCTTGCTTGCTATGTTGAATTTTTTAGTGTACAAATTTATAGTGATAGCATAGTCCCAATATTGTGCAGACACCCCCTTTATTTAGTTCCAAAACATATCATCACCTCAAAGAAAACCATGTACCCATAAACACATCCCATTTCCTCTCTCCCCCAGATCCCCTGGTATCCACTAATCTACAGATTTGCATATTCTCACATTCCATATAGCATATAACATTTTCTATACAGTGTGGCCCTTTGTGTCTGGCTTATTTCATTGAGCACAGTGTTTCTGAGATTCACTCACATTGTATCATTTGTCATTGTTTCATTCTTTTTTATTATTGAATGATACTCTATACACATATACCTAATTTAGTATTATAGCCATGACAGAAGTTTAGAATCTAGCACTAATAGCTATTTCACAATAAAGATACCATGTCTATTCTTAATAGAGGTTCATTAGGGGATGGGAATTTGTCTTTCTCTTAAGGCTTTTTAAGTATCTCTGGCTTTGCCAGTCTTTCCTTAGGGAGATTGTCAGATTCATAAAAAGATACTGTTTCTATCAGTTGTCAGATAACTGTGATAGTGTATAATTTAACTAAACTTAATCTTAGCCAAGATTTTACCTTGGACTCTTTATTATTTTTAAAGGCTCAGTGTTAAGGAATAGTATGTAGAATATATTCCCCTAGAACCTATATTGGGGCAGCAAATTAGAGCCAACAAGCCAGGCCTGTATAAAGTTTTATTTGCGTGTACATAGTGTTTGAACTGTTGACTTTACTCTGCAAATCTGAGTGTGTGTAAGGGGCTGTATGACTATACTTTGTGATACTCACTAGTTCCTGTCTTTGTCTCAGGAACCCTGTGTATTTTTAGTATATAAGTAATAGTGGCCATCAGAATTTACCATGTCAGAAATTTGGATGAATATATATTCCCTTAGATTTTAAAATAAACGTATTTTAGAATTTGTAACAGGGGGGCCTGGAGAGATGGTTCAGCTGTTAAAAGTACCTGGCTGCTCTTGCAGAAAACCTGGAATTGATTCCCAGCACCCACATGGCAGCTGAAACTCCAGCAAGATCTCTAGTCTTGGGGTATTCACCACCCTCTGCTGGCCTCTGGATACTGCACAAACATGGTGCACAGAAACAAGCAGGCAAAACATATGAAAATAATAAATAAAGTTTCCAAAATCTTTTTAAAAAGAATTTGCAGCCTGGAGGTGGTGGCACCCAGGATCTGCAGTGCCTACTCAAGTGGGCTGTATTTGCACTTCATCATCTTACTTGCTTGCTGAGTCAACACTGGTGTTTTGACATAAGCATTCGTTTTGCCTTAGAAGGACTCTGGGATGTGCTCTGTTGTTTGTTGTTGGTATTTGTGTCTTTACAGGGGACATTGCACATGTCTTATTTCATAAGGGTCTGTGAGGACCGCTTCCCTCAGGATTGAGGCCAGGAGCACAGGACTAAGGCAGATCCATTGGTAGATCTTTACTTGTTATTAAAAGAGATTTCCCTAACCTAATCACATAGTCTTTGCTGTGGCAGCTAGGAGGCTTGGAGCCTGCTTTTCAGCCCATTTTCAAGTATTGTACATGGTATGCATGTATGTTATTCTAGTCCCATTCCTCCTTCCCCCACCCCTTTATTTCTCCATCATTTATTTCTGTAAGTTGAAATTTATTCTGTGTTGCTATAAATTCTCATCTTTATTTGAAGAAGATAAGTGTAGTCTTCCTAAGTAAAAATTGTTCCTTTATTATTGTATAAAGCTTCTTGTTTAGAGAAACGGCCTCAGGACTGGTGATATACCACTGTGGTATGGCACTTTGATAGCGTTCATGAGGCCCTGGGTTTGATCCCCAGTACTGCCAAATAAAGAAAGAAACCTGTATATTATGGACTCTGTTTTGATTTCTAGAAATGAGCTAATCACTTCTTACCTTAGAGAAGTAGCTGTGCTAGTCTGCAAATGTAAATAGACTATATATAAATGTGAGGGTGCTCTCCTGGGTCACTATAGACTATATATAGATCTGAGGGTGCTCTCCTGGGTCACTATAGACTATATATAGCACCATTACTTGGCAGTGTTATTTATTTCCTACCCACAGCCTCTGTCCTAATTTTCATCTCACATACAGTATTATTATTTTCATTTCATCATAAGCACTTTTGTGCTTACTTGTGGCACTTTTTGTTATTACCTCCAGTGTAACTCTTAGTTAATTGTGTATTTCCATCAGCACAGTCCTGCTTTTAAACTAGGAAAAGTCATAAAACAGTAGTGCTTCCAAGCTGTCCATTTTCTCCCTATTCACTAGAGCCTGAACTTAATGGAAGCTAGTGACTCTGCAGGTGAGCCCCTGTGATAGCATCAGGTCCCTGTGTTGTTGACAGAGAACCAGATATTATGCTAATGTTTTAAAAGGAAAGTAAAGCTATATTTTATACAAAGGGAAAGGGGTAGATAAGAAAATGTTTTTCTTACTTTTTTTTTTTAAGACAGTCTCACTATGTAGCCCTGGTTGGCCTGGAACTTTCTTTGTAGACCAGGCTGATCTGTGAATATCCACCTGCCTCTGCCTCCCATGTGCTGCATTTAAAGGTATGCACCACCATACTTGGCTAGCTTGCTTATTTGTTTGCTTACTTATTTATAGACAGGGTCTCCCATTGTATCCCCTGGCTACCTTAGAACTCATTGCATAGAAGCTGGCCTTGAACTTGTCCTTCGTTGTCCTACCTCTGGCTCCCAAGTTCTAGGAGTACAGATACACACTGCCACTCCTGGCTTATAGTGTATTTTCTATAAAAGGTTGATTTTCGTTAGTTTTGGAGATTACGGTTTTATTTGTTTGTTACTATAGAGATGCTATCAGTTCCATTTTCAGAAGACTGTGCAGTCTTTTGAACTGATGAAGAGCAAGGTTTTGGTTCCTGCTATTCTGAAAGTTGAGTCCAACAAGAAAAATAAATCCAGTTAAAATGTAGGTGTTAAGAATAGAGGCATGCCAGGCAGTGGTGACATGTGCCTTTATTGCCAGCACTCAGGAGGCAAAGGAAGGTGGATGTCTGTGAGTTTGAGGCCAGCCTGCTCTAGAGAGTGAGTTCCAGAACAGGCAAGGCTACACAATGAAACCCTGTCTCAAACAAAAAACAAACTAAAAGAAAATAGGCTGAGCAAACATGACTTCATTGGCTTTCCCACCTTTTTTTTTTTTTTTCATCCCAAAGCATAAACTTAAATCAACTCAGAAGGACAAAGTCCGCCAATTCATGGCATGCACCCAGGCTAGCGAGAAAACTGCTATCTACTGCCTGACACAGAATGAGTGGAAACTAGACGAGGCTACAGACAGTTTCTTCCAAAACCCAGAGGCGTTCCACCGAGATTCTATGAAGAGCACTGTGGACCAGAAGAAGCTGGAGCAGCTATATGGCAGGTACAAAGGTAAGGGGTGAAATGGCAGCAAAGCTGACCAAACACTCTATAGTGATCAGCACGGATGGTGCTAGTGGGGTGGACAGCATAGAGGGATGGACAGCACGAATGACACTAGATGGATGGACAGCACAAATGACACTAGAGGGATGGACAGCACGAATGACACTAGAGGGATGAGCAGCACAAATGGTGCTAGAGGGATGGACAGCACAAATGACACTAGAGGGATGAGCAGCACAAATGGTGCTAGAGGGATGGACAGCACAAATGACACTAGAGGGATGAGCAGCACAAATGGTGCTAGAGGGATGGACAGCACAAATGACACTAGAGGGATGAGCAGCACAAATGGTGCTAGAGGGATGGACAGCACAAATGACACTAGAGGGATGAGCAGCACAAATGGTGCTAGAGGGATGGACAGCACAAATGACACTAGAGGGATGAGCAGCACAAATGGTGCTAGAGGGATGGACAGCACAAATGACACTAGAGGGATGAGCAGCACAAATGGTGCTAGAGGGATGGACAGCACAAATGACACTAGAGGGATGGGCAGCACGAATGATGCTAGAGGGATGGGCAGCACGAATGACACTAGAGGGATGGGCAGCACTAATGACGCTAGAGGGATGGACAGCACAAATGACACTAGAGGGATGAGCAGCACAAATGGTGCTAGAGGGATGGACAGCACAAATGACACTAGAGGAAAGAGCAGCACGGATGATGCTAGAGGGATGGACAGCACGAATGATGCTAGAGGGATGGACAGCACGAATGACGCTAGAGGGATGGGCAGCACGAATGACACTAGAGGGATGAGCAGCACAAATGGTGCTAGAGGGATGAGCAGCACGAATGATGCTAATGGGTGGACAAGTTCCAGACGCCCTCTTCTGGTAGTTAGTCAAGAGCCCACTCTCCTTAGCCGAAAGGCTGGAGAAGAGGGAGGGAGTCAAAAGATGGATAACAGGCTAGCCTTCACCTAAGCCCTCAATTCCTATCCTTCTGTACAGTGAGTGCCATGCTAAGGACAGTCAAGCAGGCAACTACTTTGCAGACTGCTGCTTCAGCCATGCTGTACCTGCTAATGCATTTCCCCCTCAGGCTGAAGCAGGGGTTTTTGTTGGTTTTAGCTTTTTTGTTGTTTTGGTTTTTGAGACAGGGTTTCTCAGTGTAACAGCCTTAGCTGTGCTGGAACTAGCTCCATAGACCAGGCTGGCCTCGATCTCACAGAGATCTGCCTGGCTCTGCCTCCAAAGTGCTGGGATTAGAGTTGTGCACCACCAATGCCTGGCAATTTGTTTTTTAATAGAACCTTTGTCCCATAAGCATGATGTGGGGTATAGTGCAGTTAGATGTCTAGTTTCATTCATTTCATTTGTCATCTTTTTTTTTTTTTTTTTTTTTTGCCATTGCATATCGTGGCATATCCCAGCACTTGGGAAGCTGAGGCAAGAGAATTTCTGCAAATTCAAGGCCAGCCTAGGATACACAGCAAAACCTTATTTTAAAAGACAAGTGCATCATTTAGAGTAGAGTAATAGGGCTGGAGAGATGGCTCAATGAGTAAAACCTTGCTGTATAAGCATGAGGACTGAGTTCAGATCCCCAGTACCCATGTAAAAGCCAAGTATGGAGACACACACCAGTAACTCCACTCCTAGGAGAGTAGACACAGATGGATTCCAGGGACTGGTTCACTAGCCAGCTAATATAGCCAAAGCTGCATGTTCCAGGCTTAGTGAGAGATCCTGTCTCAAGAAATAAGATGGTAGGGTTGGAGAAATGGCTCAGCAGGTAAGAGGACTTGCTGGTCTTACAGAGGGCTGGGGTTTGGTTCCCAGCATCTATGTGGTGCCTCACAACCCTTTGTAATTCCAGTTATACCCTCTTGGCTCCTGCTGGCCACAGCCATGCACATGGTTTAAGGCATATAGGCAAAACATTCATACCCATAAGGTAAAAACATTAAAAACAATACATGGAGCACAGTAAGGAAAAGCACTTGAGGTTTCCGCCAGCCTCCTCATGCACATGCCCATGTATACAACACACAAATTTCTTTGCTAGCATCATTTATAAAAATAATGCTGTGTATAGGTGTCAGTTAGGAGGCCTGGGCAATCTATGGGGCCTGTGGTAGTGGATCAGTATCCCTAGTGTACAAATGGACTTTGGGAGCCCATTCCTCATGGGGGGTACTCTCTCAGCCTAGACATATGGGGGAGGGTCTAGGCCCTGCCCCAAATGATGTGACAGACTTTGAAGATCCCCCATGGAAGGTCTCACCATCCCTGGGGAGCAGAAGAGGGTTGGGATAGGAGTGGGGGGGGGGGGGGGGCAGGTGAGAACAGGAGGGAGAGGGAACTGGGATTGATATATAAAATAAGATTGTTTCTAATTTAAATAAAAATAATAATGCTGTGTATAGTACTTGAATAAGCAAAGGTAAGTTTTCTGTGAAGGGCAATCTTATTTGGGCAAAGGTGTTTTTCATTTGTATCTTTGAACCAATAGTATTCACACATATACTATGATGATGTATTCTGATATGTTAGTCTGGCAGAAATGATAAGATCTAGTTTCTGAGGTCTTGCTGAAGTGTCTTTAATATACTCTACTGTTTCATTTTTTTGATAGACAGACCCCCCAAGTTCTAGGGAGTGTGAATTTCTAAGATGTTGAATTTGGGTGCCTAAGCTAACTGACTGGGATAATTATTGTCCCACAGCAGTAAAGCTAGCAAATGAAATTACTTAAAAAGGGGTTGGAGAGATGGCTCAGAGGTTAAGAGCACTGACTGCTCTTCCAAAGGTCCTGAGTTCAATTCCAAGCAACCACATGGTGGCTCACAACCATCCGTTTGAGATCTCGTGCCCTCTTCTGGTGTGCAGATATATATGGAAGCAGAATGATGTATACACAGTAAATAAATAAATTCTTTTAAAAAAGGAAAGAAATTACTTAAAAAGAAAACAATCAATCACTTTTGCTTTGGCAGAATTTGAACCATCTTCTTTCCCTTCCCACCATTCTCCAGTGCCAGAGCTGGAGATAAACCCACAGCCTGTGCATGAGGAGCAAGCCTTTGTTACTTAGCTTCATCCTCAGCTAGAAATTAGATCAGAGTTTTGGTTCTGGTGTTGATGTTAGAACCCAAGCACACCATGCAAGCATTCCTCCACTGCACTTGTGTGCTCTGCCCCAAGCACACCATGCAGGCATTTCTCCACTTTGCTTGTGGTCTCTGCCTTACATTAATTCTTGATGATGACATCTCTTCACAAGAGTTTCGGTGTTTATTTCTTTCCCTAAAACCCAGAAACCTAGATCTTAAGGATACAGCTATTTTCTGGATAGATTTTTAATGCTTCATATTTGTTTCATTTCATAAAAAATGGTTGTTCATTGATAGAACTGTATTAACAGAGTAGCATGATTCAAACAAGCTATTTTAGGACTGCTTTTCAATGTAGTATGATGTTTTCTCCCCTAATTTCAACAACAGACCCACAGGATGAAAACAAAATCGGAGTTGATGGGATTCAGCAGTTCTGTGATGATTTGAGCCTGGACCCTGCCAGTATTAGTGTTTTGGTCATAGCATGGAAGTTCAGGGCTGCCACTCAGTGTGAATTTAGCAAAAAGGAGTTTGTGGATGGCATGACAGAGCTTGGGTAAGTATGTTATTCTCAGTTTAAACTTTTGAGAAGGAGAGATACTTGGATCATTTTCCCACTACTTACAAGTACTAATTTCATATACATGTATTTTCTTTGTGTATTATAAGCCTTTGGTTTCTTTTCAAACTTAAGTTTTTATCTACTATCTTTATTCATATTAATCTTCCTATTCTTTAAATTTAAAAAATCCCTTCTATTGGGTTGAGGAGATGAGATGGCTCAGTGGTCAAGAATTTGTAGTGTTCTTATAGAGGGCCATAGTTCAGTTCCCAGCTCCCATGTCAAGCTGTTAACACCCACTGCTTGTACCTCAAGCTCCAGGGGATCTGACTGCTCTGGTCTCCTCAGGTGTCTGTACACATGCATGCATATACACATGTGTATGTGTGCCTGCCCACATGTACATATTTAAATTAAAACTAATATTCTTCCAAGTTTGAATTAACAGTGAATAGCAGGGTAAAAATTTAACCACTTATGATATTTTATACTAAATGTATAATTTGTTATATGGTTGTATTAAATTCCAATAAAATGCCATTTTGATTTTTGTTTCTCAGTTCTACCCAACAGAGTTAAGATTAATGATTTAAGATGTTGGTCATTTAACAGATGTGATACAGAAGTAAATGAAAACACCCAACAGAAATATTTTTAATTGCTAAACTTATTGAACTCCATGCCTGGAGAGATGGCTTAGTGGTTAAGAGCACTGGTTGTTCTTCCAGAGGACCCGGGTTCAATTCGCAGTACCCACATGACAGCTCACAACTGTCCGTAACTCAGTTCCAAGGGTTCTGATACCCTCACATAGACATAGATGCAGACAAAACACCATTGCACATAAAATAAAAATAAATAATTAAAATAAAATAAAATGCACATTAACGGGGCCATGGTAGTGCATGCCTTTAATCCCAGCACTTGGAAGGCAGAGCAGGCAGATCCCTGTTAGTTCGAGACCAGCCTGGTCTATAAGAGTTAGTTCCAGGACAGGCTCCAAAGCTACACAGAGAAACCCTGTCTCAAAAATCTTTAAAAAAAAAAATATTGAACTACTTTGTGAGGTGGTATAAAGGTCAGCTTGTTCTACTTGCATTTATTTCTAACACTCACATTCACTGTTGATGTTTTACAATCGTTTTGAGTTGCCGAAAAACCAAAAGCCTGTAAAGTTGTCCCTAAAGCACACACTTACATCACTAATTAAGAAAATGCCCTGCAGGCCTGACTACAACTGGACCTTATGGAGGCATTTGCTCAATTGAGGTTCACTCCTCTCAGGTGCCCCTAGCTTGTGTCAGGTTGACATAAAAACTAGCCAGCACAATATCTATCCATCCCTAAGCAGAAAAATAGAACTGGGAAGGCTGGGTAATAGTGACAGAACTTAGCATGCTCCAAGGCCTGGGTCTCCTGTAAACAGAGGTTTCTCTGTCCTGCCACATCCTGCAGCTGCTTTTAAATAGTCACTCAGAGGCTTAATATTAATTGCAAATTGTTTAGCCTATAGCTCAGGCTTACTACTATCTAGCTCTTACAACTAAAATGAACCCATTTCTATTAATCTACTTTTGCGACATGGCTTCATGGCCTTACCTGTTCCTTAGTACATCTTGCTGCTTCAGAGGCTTGCTCATCTCTCTCTGACTCCACCCTTCTCTCTGCATCTTCAGTTTGACTTTCCCATCTAGCCTTAGTCTGCCTTGCTATAGGCCAGAGCAGCTACTTTATTAACCAATGAGAGGAATACATATTCACAGTGTACAAAAGGACTATCCCACAGCAGTCTCCAGTATTTGAAGATGAGGAGGAGAGTCAGCAAGAGGAAAATACAAAAAGCAGGTGGTGGTAGCTCATGCCTTTAATGCCAGCACTTGGGAAGCAAAGGCAGGTGGATCTCTGTGAGTTCAAGGCAGAGACAGAGGCAGGTAGATCTCTGAATTTAAGGACAGCCTTGTCTACATAGTTCCAGGCCAGCCAGGGATGCTCAGTTAGACCCCATCTCAACAACAAACAATAACAAAAAACAAAGCAGTAGTTTAATAGAAAATACTAAATGAAAAAGTTGATAATCAGCAGAAGCAGGAGCTTGTTGCTTTAGAGGCTTGTAAAATCAAATAACATAAAGAAGTGGCAGACATTACGAACAAATTTATGCCAGTAAACTTGGGAGCCTGTTTTTAAAATACAACTTGCTGAGCCAGGTGGTGGTGGCACACACCTGTAATCCCAGCACGTGGGAGGCAGAGACAGATGGATCTCTGAGTTCAAGGCCAAAAAACAAAACAAAACAACCTAAAAAATAAAAAACCAACGCTGAAAACTGGCATGGAAAGAAATAGAAAATTGTGGTAATTTTGTAACTCTGTGTTTCAACCTGTGTCTTACTTTTCTATTGCTGTGATTAAAAACACCATGTCCAAGGCAACTTATAAAAGAAAGCATTTAATTCGTGGCCTAAATTTAGAGGGTTAGAGTCCATAATGGCAGAACAAAGGCATGGTGGCAGGAACAGCTGAGAGCTCACATCTTGATCAGCAATTTGGAGGCAGAGAGAGGGAGAATGATGAGTCTTTTGAAACCTCAAAGCTCACCCCCCAGTTACACACCTCCTCCAAGGCTACACTCCCCAATCCTTCCCACACAGTTTCACCAACTGAGAACCAAGTGTTGAAACATGTGAGCCTAAAGGGGACACTCTCGCTCCCACCACCAGTGTCTGTAATGTATAACTTCAAAAAAGAAACTTGGGGTAGCTTCACTTACAAACTTGATGAAAAAAAAACCCCAGGTTTTATATTTTTGGTTGTGAGCCTAGCCTTTAACGGCTAAGCCATCTCTCCAGGTTTTAAACAAGCTCTAATGAAGAGCTTGATAAAAGGAAGATGATTTCTAAGCCCGCTAAATTTTGATCCTTGTTACAGTATACATGAAAATCAGTTTCGAGTGGATTGTAGTTCTCAATGCTAAAAACATTTAACCTCTGATAAATAATGTAGAAATTAACTTTATGATCATGCAAAGGGGTAAGTTTTGCAATGTCACTAAATAAACATGATAAAGGAAGGAGCTTTTCTAGAGTGTTTGTGCCAAAAATAAATAAAGGAGAACATCTCATTGTACAAATCACAAAGCAGAGAGGTCTACAGAGTGAGTTCCAGGACAGCTTGAGCTACCCCGAGAAACCCTGTCTCAAAAACAAGTAAACACATGCCTTCTTTCACACATTCAGTGTGCACAGACAGAGGTTTCAGTGCTGTCACAGCCCTACAGCTACAAGATCCTAACGGCATTCACAAGGGAGCCTGGGAGGTGAGGTTTCTGTAAATGAAGAAGGGTGATAGGAAGGCAGATGACAAGTAACAAGCCCTTCTCTGATGTTGCAGGTGTGATAGCACAGAGAAACTAAAAGCTCTTCTTCCTAAGCTGGAGCAAGAGCTTAAGGACTCGGCAAAGTTTAAAGACTTTTACCAGTTTACCTTCACCTTTGCCAAGAACCCTGGGCAGAAGGGTTTAGGTGAGTATGAATGCTAGGTTTGCAAGGTGCCAGATCTGAGTCCTGTTGTAAATGGACAGAATCAGTGTGATTCCAGCACAGACGGCTGTGAGGATGCCGCCTCTGTCTTAGTTTCTTTGTTCCACTTATTCTTCATGTAGCTGAAAGTATCAGTTGATAATGTCTCTTGGCTAAATTGTCTAAATTTGTTGCTAAAATGTCTCTAAATTTAAATATTTTAAACTTAAAATGTGAACTAGTTTATGTTTCCTGTAATCTCTGTTGCTATCAATCAGCTAACAGTCTGAATGTTTGGGACTTGTTCTCTGCATGGTGGTTTGCCAGCCAGGCCTTGAAACAGCTCTGCTGTAAGCCAGGCTGCATTACAGCTCCTTTAAGAGCTGTCAGTTCTACTTCGCACAGATGTGCACATCTGGAAAGTTTTTAACTGAAAATTCCAGTTTGAGTTTTCATTTACTTGGGGGTTTTATTTAGTTCTGCATCTTACTTCCGGCTTGTTTCTTCCTAAGAATAACCCATATCAACCTATGATTAACTTGCCTGGAGTATGTAAAAGGCCTTGTGTATTTATTTGAAACCTCTTACATATTAGAAGGTGTGTTCAGAAGATAAAACTGGTAAATAGAAGCAGTACCATAGAGGACTAAAAAACTACACAGGGAGTTAGAAAAGGGTGCAAACCACACAGGTGGAAGCCTGGCGCAAGGCCTCACATTCAGTACCTATTCTGCCACCACATGCCCACACACAGGTGTGTATCTGTCTTTCCTGCCCCAGCCTTCTGTCCTGTTGTCACCATTGTCCTCCCTCTCCTCCTCCTCCAGCATGGTGGCACAGGTCCAAAGAGTCAAACAGCCAAGAGATGTTCTTCCTACACTTCCTAAAACAGCCCCTGAGGGTTGCTTTCTTCATCTTGTTTGTTTTCTCTAGTGTTGCTGTTTTAATGTCAATGTACTGGGCCATGGCCAGCTGTCCTTTTCCTCCAGCCTCATCTGCCTATAAAATGGCCTTTCCCCGCTCTGAGGTCACACCACCTCTCAGGTCACATGAATGCTTCAGGAGCCAAAGACCAGCCAGCCTTCAGAGTTGCATTTAGAAACTTGTCTGAATAGATCCACTGCAATTTCAAAAAGTGGAAATGCCATCACTGCCTGTCAGATAGCTGCTGAGAAAACCCTCATGTATTGTTCCCTGTCCAAAAGATGCTAGGAGGTGTGGTGCAGTGGTAGATTGATGTCTCAACCTGAACACACCCTTGGCTTCCATCTCCAGCATGAAAATCAAAGGAGAGATTTGGGTAAACAAATGAGACATGAGGCTGGTACCATCCCACACTCATGGGTCACGCAGCACAGTCAAGTGAAGCACTTGGCAAGAGGTAATTGAGGCAAACTTGTTTGTGGTTAGGTGTATCCTGACCTTGTTACTGCAGGATCTGGTCCTCATGGCTAAGGAGGAAAGCATAGCAAAGCCCACTGTGTATCACAGGTCATGGGAAGAAAAGAAGGTGGCAGGATCCTGTATACTGCTCTTCTTATTTTTTTAAATTTTTTTTGAGATTTATTTTATTTTTATTTTATATGTTTGGGTGATTTGCCTGCGTGTATATCTGTGCACGATATTGATGCAGTGCCCAGATGAGGGTGTCATGTCCCCTTGGAACTGGAGTTACAGATGGTGGTCAGTTGCCATGTGGGTGCTGGGGACTGTAATCATCAGTAACTGGTAACCGTTGAGTAATCATTGAGTCACCTCTGCAGCCCCTCCACCCCTTTTTAGAGACTAACCTTTTTTTAACTGAAAAAGGAGCCAGCCACATGACATAGCTCTTTGGCTGGGTGGCCTATGGCCTATCAGTCCTTGCCCAGGAAAGCTCTTGTGTAGCCTTCCTGGTGGAGAAAGGAAGCCAAGGGTCCTCAAGGCAGTATGTCTGGAGACTGAGGCATTGGCAACAAGATCCTAGTGACATTAGAATTTTGGCTGTTCCCGGTGGTATTGGTACAAAGTAAAAATCTGGGCTGGAGCAATAGCCATCCTAATGGTGCAATAGGGTGTTAGGAATAAGACTGGGGCAGTAAGAATCTTACCAACCAGTCCTCCTCAGCCATCATCCCTGCCATTCAGACATCTAGACCAGGATCTGAAAAATGGAGTCTCAATACTGTATCTAGTAACTACTAGTACCTGTTAATGATTGATTGATCTTTATTTCCATACCTCTTTGACAAGCAGAACCTCATGCTGGTGTTTCTTTTTTTATTTTAGAATATATTGAATGTACTAAATAATGGGTTTCATGGTGAAATATACACTGACCTATTTATCCCAATATTGCCTTCTCTGGTCCCCCTTCCCCTGTTACTGGTTGTCTTAGTCACTGTTCTAATGCTGTAAAGAGACACCATGAACACAGCAACTCTTTTTTTTTTTTTTTTTTTTCTTTTGGTTTTTCGAGACAGGGTTTCTCTGTGGTTTTGGAGCCTATCCTGGAACTCGATCTTGTAGACCAGCTGTCCTTGAACTCACAGAGATCCCCTGCCTCTGCCTCCCGAGTGCTGGGATCAAAGGTGTGTGCCACCAACGCCCAGCTGACACAGCAACTCTTATAGGACCTCACACATGCCAAACATGTGCTTTACCGCTGACTTACTGTGTCTCCAGACATCTTTTTTTTTTAGATGAAGTCTTACTATGTAGCCCTAGCTTGGCCTCAGCCTCCCCAAAGATCTGCATGCCTCTGCCTCTTGATTGCTGGGATAAAGGTGTGTACCACCTCTCTAGCATCCTTACTTTTAGGAGCTGAGTTTTTACTTTGGGGGCTAAAACTCTTGGTTTTTAATCTTTCTCACGTACCCCATTTCCTAAGAGACTGAGAAGAGATAGCTGTTACATTGGCAGTCTGTTTTAATTTGGACCCTGATCACCCATTCAATATCATGAGAATTGGCAGGAGCACATTGCTGGAGTTTTCTAGAAACTTAACAGAAGACTGGGCTTGGGCTCCCTCGGGCTTTGGGGTTGTCTGTGAGCAGATGTTAGGGACTGGAGTGACAGACGGCTCAGTGGTTAAGGGAAGGTTTGGTCACTTCTCAAGGGTCAGTGCTGTGTTTGGAACAGGATTGATTCTGCCGTGCCGTTGCTTCATCCTACACTGCCAGGTTTTCTTGTTCTTCACCTGCTCTTCTTCCTGAGCCCAACTTCCCTGGCCATGCTCAGTCTGTACAGAGCCTCACACACGCTAGGGTGAGTACCCAACTGCTGAGCTATATCACAGCTTAGGGCTTTGTCTCAGCACGGAAACTGAAGAGATTTTATGCCGCTACCATTGGAAATCAGCTAGCTCGGAGGATCTTGAGTTTTAAGAAATGAAGTTTCACACTAACTTACTTTTTTTTTCTGAACAGAGGGTGTTTCTTTGTCTAGTGGAGCATCACACATGTAATTCTAACTAGCCTTGCCTTCTAGCAGTTTCTTAATCAAGAGAGTTGTTAGAGGTTTTTGGAAAGAAACTGGTGCCAGAATGTTCTCATTACAAAGTAACTATGGCAGGGCCGGGGAGATGGCTCAGCGGTTAAGAGCACTGACTGTTCTTCCAGAGGTCCTGAGTTCAATTCCCAGCAACCACATGGTAGCTCACAACCACCTTGAATGAGATTTGGTACCCTCTGCTGGTGTGCAGGCAGAAGACTGTGTACATAATGAATAAATAAAATCTTTAAAAACAAAACAAAACCAAAACAAAGTAACTATGGCCCCTGATTTCAGTCTCAAGGTCTACTATTGGGAAATTTTGTAGTTGTTATTTTGTAGGTGATCCCAAGTTCACTTGGATAGCATGACATGTTTTACATTGGACTATTAAATATTGGAAATTTATACATTTACTTTATAGTCATGTAACTCATGGACTTCCAGATGAGGTACTTAATAAGAAGGGTTTCTAGGACCAAAGCTAACCCAGACTCAACTAGATTATAAAGTATGCCATAAAACTTTATTTTTCTTTCCTCCTCAGGTTCTCCTCCATTTCCCAGTGTGAGCGCTTTACATCATTAAGATGAGTTGAATCTAGATCTCACTTAATGTTCTTCCTAAGGGATAAGGATGTAGACTTATAAGCAGGACAAGACTAATCGTCTTAGCATTACACTGCGGGTCCCATAGGTAAGGCCTAGCAAGCCCTCCACATGCTATGACTGGACCTCTCTGACACTCTCCTTTCCATGGAGACTCCAGGGTGCTTAGGACGGATCTGGCCGGCAGCATACCCTATAAACCCATAGGGAATAAATGTCCTATCCAGTGTTGGTCACTAGCCATTTGTCTCTAGTTTATCAGTGTTAGCAATGATCAGCCCTGGAAGTCTCAAATTAGAACCCTGACATCAATCATTTCCCTCCAGGTGGGAACAAACCAGATTCAGGAGAAAGTTTTGGAAAGTGCTTCTTTACCGGTGTCATGTTTAAACTAATCTGTTCCCTTAATGTAATTGTTGGTCTGCTTTTCACATTGCTTAATCTGACATATGTGCAGAAATGTGACTAGGAGATTATCTTGGCATAGCTACCCTCTTTTTTTTGCCTGTGGTGAGCAGTACTCATCATGATTAAAATAGTCAGCCTTAGAAACATTTGCAGTGAGCAGGGAGTAGATGGCTAGTCCCGAAAACTCTGACAAGAGTCTGTCCCATAGCCTCCTGGAAACCCAGCATCCATTTTCTTTTAGATATACAGCTTTAGACAAACCTAATAGCATAGATGTGTCTAAGAATGGTGAAGTACAGGCTGGAGGGATGGCTCAGCCGTTAAAGGCGAGGCTCACACCCAAAAATGCAAGACTGGTAAAGTACTCACTGTCTTCTAGTTGAGGGAGAAGCTATTAGCTTTGATTGATAAATAACCCAATTTTTTAATCTTTGTAGCAGTGAAAATAGTTTTCTCTATATGTAGAAATTTGTCTTAACTGTGCAGTGAGAAAATGCAGAGTCCTTAGAGAATCCCGTTTGCTTGATAATCGGTAGTTCTAAAACAGCCAGATTTGACTTAGTTCACATGACCATGAGGCAGGTCTGCTGGAGGAAACTGATCCCTCCCTTAGAAATGAGTCCTTTAATTTTCAGCTTATCACTTGGAAAGAGCAGTGGCCTACTTTGTGAATAACTGATCTACACTAATAGTAATAATAGATTGGATCATGCACAGTTATGTCTGACACACATAGAAAGCTAGTCTCCAAAACTAGTTAACTTGGAGCAACTACTTGCATGTCCAAATAATACACAAGTGCTTCCTAAGAAATTTCCTCAGACTCATAAATTTAGATTACATGTCATTTCCAGAGACACTTGCATAGAGATTGGGTAACATTGCCAAGTAATTGGTCTTATTCTATAGGGGAAAAAAGAGATTTACTAATCACCCTTTTTCTTTCTCTCTGTCCTTCCCTCCCTCCTTTTCTCCTCCATTCCCATTTCTCTCCATCAGATTTAGAAATGGCTGTTGCATATTGGAAGTTAGTATTGTCTGGAAGGTTTAAATTTTTAGATCTTTGGAACACATTTCTTCTGGTAAGTGACTGTTTCTTGCCTTGTGTGCCCAATCAAGAGGAAGTTTTCTTATTTAAAATGCTAAGGATTGGGGTACATGCCTTTAATTCCACTCAGGAGGGTGAGGCCAGTGGATCTCTGTGAATTCAAGGCCAGCCTCATCTGCATAGTGAGGTCCAGACCATCCAGGGCTACATAGTGGGATTCTGTCTAAAAAAAATTTTAAATAAATAAAATGCTAAGACTGAATGTAGTCATCTGACTAAAGGATGAATACAAAAGCAAGGAGCTGCACAAGTTCACCACTTGCAGAACGCCACAGCACCGCAGCAGAGCCAGCTACAGGTAGCAACTTCTCTGAGGCTGTTCTATACACAGCTCCTTTTTCTAGTATGTTGTCAATCAGCTTACAGCTGATCTCAGTGACTCTCAACTTGCCATCTCCTCTGAGGACTTCCTAAACTCAGTCATTCTGCTTTGCTATTGAGGAGCTTCAAATCCATGAAAGACCACACTGGCTGCACACTGCTCTGGACTCTAGCGTGTGGAGCAGAGGCACCCTGTCATCACATGTGTCCGTAACCTGACACTTTTAAAATCTGCTCTGCCACACAAAGATGGATAGGAGGCTTTTATGGGGTGCCATAAAGAAGGAAGTATGGCTGTGCTGGGCCCTGTCTTGTAGGGACACCCAGTTGAGCTGTGAGCTATCTGAATGAGTAGAGTACAAGGACATGTCCTGGATCCACAAAAGACGGTCCTGGTGACAGCAGAGATACCCAGACCTGTCACAACCATGAAAGAAGGTCATGCTTCCCACAGCACACCCTGTGTCCAGGCTGGCCGCACCCCTCCTCTTCTCCATCGTGACCCCAGCTGCCATGCACCCTGCTCTGCCATGGCTAGATTGGTGGCCTTGGGCATATTGCTTCTGTGTGCTTCAGTTTCCGTATCTAGTGATAGCATTTGAGATGGTGGCCTGTGGAAGGTAAACACTGTCATAGAGCCTAAAGGTCTTCATGTCACGGGGCTCATCCCATCATGGGTCATGTTACTTATCCAATGTTCAGTGGTTGAGTAGAGCAGCACCCAGTTCCTCCTCTACTCATTTTGTGATACTTGGGATGGAACCTGCAGCTCCAGCATGCTAGACAGGTGCTCTACAGCTGAACTACATCCCCGGCTCACTTTGTGTGAAGCAGGGTCTTATTGAGCTCAAGTAGGCCTTGAACTTGGGATCTTCCTGTCTTGCCTACTAACTACCTAGGATTACTGGCCTGTTTCACCAGATTCTCATTTTTGGGTTACACTTGAACTACAAGACATTGCCCAGAGAACTCGACAACCATGTGTAAAGGAATAAGAAGATGCTACCGCATCATGGAGTCATCAGGATGCTAGAACACACGCAGTACCACTGATGGGAAGGCTGAGAAAGATGAGAAGATTCCCCAATAGAACAGAGTACAGAGTGGCAAAACAGGTTGCCATGTCAGCTGGGCACCTTTCAGACCTAATGTTGGTGGGGAAACAAACTGTAAAAACAACTGACAGTCTAGCAGTTGATGTTTTAATATACTATATGAATTTCTTAAAGAATAAAGTAAATAAATAGACTTCAAAATAAAGATATAAGACAAGGCCTGGCAAGATGGCTGCCACTAAGTCTGACAACTGGAGTTTGATCTCTAGAACCCAAATAGTGGAAGGAGAGAACTGACACTGCCCCCCCCCACACACACACAAGTGGTCCTCTAACCTATGCACGTGCATAGAAATAGATAAATGTGAAAAAAATTAAAGATAGCATACACACATAACAAGCATAGAAGCTGTTTATGTTCCATGCATGTATTGGCATGTAAAAGCTGGCATGACAGTAGTAAGTTCAAGGAAGTGAGTGCTTTTGTAGATGATGAGGGGAGAGCCTGCTGAGACAGGAACCACTGAGGCCCGGCTTTACCTCAGAACTTGCCTTTCTGTGGGACAGACATTGTATTCATCTCCATGTTTTTGATGTAACTGGAACATTGAGTAACAAAGATATTTTAGATGATTATCTCAACCCACTCAAGAAATTCTTGATATGTAGAAGTATAAATGTGAGGAAATAAGTAGAAATAGGACTCCATATTGTCCTGCATCATCTCTGAGCAGGTTTAGGGAAGTGGGGAGGGAAAGACATTTGGAGATCGGCCTTCTGTCTGACCAGAAAGCCATGTATAATTTTAATATTTAAAATATTTTAAAATGAGTCAGTGTTCTTTCTTTGGACTCATGGCACATTGCACATGCAGTTACTGTAAAGAACTGTTGCTTTCACTCATGCAGTTGCTGTAAAGGGCTGTTGCTTTCACTGGTGCTAGTTGTAAATTTGCACTCCGCATCACGCTAAGGAGGCTCATTTGCTGATGCAGTGTGCCCAGCCACTAGCATATCTGAGAGTTAAGATCTGAACCTTAACCTGGTGGATGTTTTTCTCTTATGTATTAGGAGCATCACAAAAGATCAATTCCAAGGGATACTTGGAACCTTCTCCTAGATTTTGGAAACATGATTGCAGATGATTTGTCTAACTACGATGAAGAAGGTACTAGAAGTTGTAGGACTTCTCAGGGTTACCAGAGATGCTCACGCCTCCTATGGATGCTAATGGATTACCTCCAGAGCGAGGGGCAGACACTGACCCAGAAGGGCCACCCACCCACCCACAGGGATAAGAGCAGTATACTGACTTACTTCCTTGTCAGCTTCTAGAACCATAAAACCTGGTTAGATCGTAAGTCCATACATATTTTCCCCTAATGCCAGAGAACCCCACATTAGAGACTTTTAAGGTTCTGCCATACAGTATCACTATTCCCTGAGAGGGGCCTGACCCTGGGTACCTTGTCTCCCCTCCAAATGTAGCTGGCCTGGACTTTGTCCAGGACATCTTCACTCTTCATGCATTGTGGCCACTAACCCTGTCCCTGACAGCATCCAGTTCATGTCATGTCCCTCATCTGTATGTCCTCCACACTCAACACAGTGCCCATAACAAATGCCTCATGAAAGCTTCTTGTATAAAAGGAAGGATAGTTGATGTAGACAACTTGGTTTTCAAGAGTCATAACTGTCCCTGGTAAAACTAACTTGTCTGCCAGGAGACAGCTAGCTTATGGCAAAGGAGCCATGTGTGCTATGGTGCCCTGCACGGGGTAGATTTAGTTGGGAGTCTGGTAAGGAGTCAGAGAGAATGCCCATGACTAAGGATTAATGATCCTTGGCCCCTAGGAAGCAGTGAGTCCATTTATTTCCATTCCCAATCAGCAGGTTCTAACTGCCCATAAATTGGCTGAGGCCTGAGAGGCCACCTTGTAAGCCCGGTCAGGGAGAGTGTGGCCTCAAGGCCAATACACCCACCATCACTGGCCCTACTTCCTGCAGCAGAAGAACCGAGTGACTTGAGCAAGGCGTTTGATCCGACACAAGCTGTATAAGCTTCAGATTGTTTTGCTTCTTTAGATGTTAGATTTGGGGAAAGAACATTTTTAATATAAAAATACTGCTATAAGACTTATTTTAAAAATCTGTTTGTTTTCCTTTAGGAGCCTGGCCTGTCCTTATTGATGACTTTGTAGAATATGCACGACCAGTGGTCACAGGTGGGAAGCGTGGCCCTTTCTAAATGGAAACGACAGATAGATGGAGGGTGAATGAGATGGATCCTGAAAGGAGACAACTGGGTTGGTTGCTGTGTGCATTTGTTGCTGACTTCAGAAGTCTTCCTCGTCCATTCATGAAACAAATCCTTACTCCGCTTAAAGGCTGCCATGTAGGAACGGAGAAGCTCCTCAGGACGTTAGGGACGGCCGGTCGTCAGAGCTAGTGCTTTAGGGAGATGCCTGCATGACTTGTCTTTACAGAAAGCAGCAAGCATAGCGCCTGTTTGCAGGGCAAAAGCGTGCTGTTCAGTCAGTCCAAGATGTTCGGGTGCGCACCAGCGGTTTCCAAAGCTGTGGACTCACACGGATGCTTCAAAATAGCATCTGTGTCCTCAGAATGATGTGTCTTCTATACGCGTCCTAGCTGTTACAAATGTGCCCTGATGAAGAAGGCCTTGCCAGAGTCTACCGCTGTTAATCTTGGTATTCAAGATTGATGGTTTTGAATTATCGAATCTCTAGATTTACTAGATGTTTGTTCTTGTTTTCTCTAGAAGACATTGTTGCAGTTTGCACAGGGATGGAACAGGATGTAATCCAGCAGGTTCATTTCAAACTGTTTACAAGCTGGTGGGCCTGATTTACTTCTAATGCGGTTATTATTATTAGGCCTAGATGCTGCCTCCTGAGAAGTTTCTTATTTTTTTAATATATTTTATTATATTTAAAAGGACATTTTTCCATGAGAAATACTTCTTTTTGAGTGATGAATTAGATTTACAAATCCAATGCACTGGTTCCCTTCACCTGTCTACAATGTCTTCAGTGCCCAGTGTCCAGCCCTTGGATAGCCATATGCATTTGGAAGCAGAATCATGTCATCCAAAAGCCTCCATCTCATTTGTCTGCACCATGGGACTGCACCATGTCACTGTGCCGTGTCACCATCTGCTTTTCTGGTGTTTCTCTGATCAAGATCCACTCTTGCACACAGGCATGGAGGGCCTGGATACTGTCTGCTCATCTGATGTCAAGCTTTGAACATCACTGTGCTGAGCCTACCTCACACTTGCCAAGACCTGGTGTCACAAGCGTGCCTTGCTGCCCGGACTACAACGTGGCCACGGAGCAGATATGCTGGGCCCACTTCAGGACGGGGGACTGGTCAAATGCCCATACTCAGAAAGCCTGTCCCAGATGTGCTGTTGGGGCAACTTCTGGTAATGGGACATGCCCCTGACTTAGGAAACAGTCTGAGGCTTGTGTGCCCTACAATGAGAGGGACTTTGATGTTGAACAGGGATCTCACAGAGGAGGTGGAGGATTGGAACAGGAGGTCAGTCTCCACAAAGCCAACCCTCACTGTGAGATGACATCACTAAGGACCTGTCAACGCAAGTCAGTGAAAGGGAAAACTGGAACATCTTTGGGAGTGTACGTAACCAAACTGACTGAATGAAGACCTGGAAAACAAAGCGTCCTTCCAGGCTTTGTGGGTCCCTGACATGCAGTTAACCTCTGTTCAGAGAAATTTTTATAGATAGAGATAACTAAATTTTGAAGGCTTACAATATGCTTTTATTTTTAAGATTTAAAATTCTTCAGAAAGATCAGTGATATGATTGAGCAGGTTAAGGCATTTGCTGCCCAGCCTGACAACCTGAGTTCAATCCCTGGGAACCACATGGTGGAAGGAGAGAACTGACTCCCACAGGTTGTCCTCTGACCTCCACACATGTGCCATGAAATGCATGTATTCCCCCTGCACACACATGTACTTACACAATAAACTAAACAAATAAATGTAACTTTAAAATTTTAAATTCTATGGGATTGTTAATAGGCTATGAAGTACTAGAAATTGATAAGGCTTTTCAGAGAATTGTGCTTTCCGTTCTATTTACACTTGAACTGTGCATGTTACAGAAATGCTGAAAACTTCAGAAATAGTAAATAAAGTATTTTCCCTGGTGTTGTGGTGTCCTTTATTCTTGGTTGCACAAATACCTATCTGTGCACTTCAAGGCCCTGTCTTTGGCTGGGACCAGCAGTAAGGCCCCTATGGCAACAGCAAGCAAGCCCTTGCCACACTGTCTCTAATGCCTCACCAGTAAATAAGAGTATCAGAGACAGACAGTTTCATTTGTCTAGGTTTCTTTCTCAGTACAGTGTGCTGGACATGTGGGAGCTGCATATCAGAAAATACTAATACAGTTATAGTTGTGTTTAAAACACACAGAACACAACAGGTTTAAGAAATGCGTGTAATCTGTTTCACTTAGTACCTGGCAGGAATTTTCAGGACAGCATAATCCTGTCTAAGTGACACCAGTGCAGTGTTGTCTAAGTCACATGGGTGCAGTGTTGTGTTAAAGTGCGTTTCGAGCTCTGTGGGCACAAAAGGAAACCTCCTCCAGCATCTGTTGCTGTGTCTAGCATCCTGTAACAGCAAGACTCTGAATGCATGTCAGACAGATAAACTTTTGAGACAGCCTTATCTTGTTTGTGACTTTGGCCAAATGGTGTGGACGTTGTTCCCAAACATCCTTAACAAAGTTCCTCTCCCAGGAGTCCTTGCACTTAGCTCCATCAGTTGTTCCACCTGAAGTGGGTCTCTTGCCGACTTCTGCTGTTCATCTTACTTGGAAGGAAACCATGTACATTGAGGGTTTGCTTTACACTGAGAATGCCACAGGAAAGGCATCTTACTACCCACTTAAGTTCCTAGCAATTGTATATAAGCCCAAGGGGGCCCTGCCAATTCTGGATGCGGCAGACCAGGTCACAAGAGGGCCAACTGGGGTCTGTGCCTGCAGGGTTTGTGCACGAGAGGGAATAGGGAGGTGACCTTCCTCCTAGTTCATTTCAAACCAAGAGTCCTGGCTTTATAAAGTGTGCCCTACCCAGCCTCATATTTAATAATTCCATGAGCAGGCAGGAATGTTCACAACACATGAAGTTTGAGGTGGCACAAGACCACCGGGTCTAGCATCGGATGGAGCCCCTTGCTACATCCTTTTTTGTTTTGTTTTGTTTTGTTGGTTTTTCGAGACAGGGTTTCTCTGTGGCTTTGGAGGCTGTCCTGGAACTAGCTCTTGTAGACCAGGCTGGTCTCGAACTCACAGAGCTCCACCTGCCTCTGCCTCCCGAGTGCTGGGACCAAAGGTGTGCGCCACCAACACCCGGCTGTGCTACATCTTTCAAACTTTTCTCTCATTACATCTTTTTTTATGGTGCTGAGGACCCAGCCGAGGGCCTCATATACATCAGATAATTATTTGTTCTATCATGGTGCTACTCGCACAGCCATCACGATTTTATAATGAGAAAAGTTTTCTAAAAGCATAAAACTACAATGGATGAATCTCAACATTATACTGAGTGAAAGGGCAGATGGAAAGGGGCCACACAATGTATTACTGTAATGGCAAAATGGGTGCATTTATTCGAAGGTGGGGCAAGAGCATATGGCAAAGACGGAGCAGTAATGTTCACATTGCGACATGCACTTCTTTGCCAGCAGGGGGCACATTCCATCAAGGAGCTGACACAGTAGCATGGCTCAAGGGCTCTGAGTGGCTCTGGGTGTGGACTGGTGCCAGCAGGCTCCTTTGCTGGAGAGCCAGTGCTGTCCAAATAGCTCCCACGTGGTGAGCTCAGAGCTTTACCTCATTGGTGCCACCTGCCAAGGCAGGGCAGGAACGCCTGGCCATTTGGAGAGTGCTGGATGGTGATACAATGACCACTATAAATGTCAGTCGGGCTGGCTAAGGGTGGCCAGGAAAGGACAAAGGCAACTGCAGGCTAAGAGGAGTCACCTTCTAAGATGGAGAAGTTCAAGGCTGCGATGTTGTTGGGGAGTGTTGGTGATGCACTCGGCTATGGAAACGTCTGCAGGGAGAATAGCGCTTTAGGTTCAATCCAGGAGGAGCTGCAAAAGACGGGAGGACTGGACAGTCTTGTGCTCTCGCCTGGAAAGTGGCCAGTGAGTGACAACACCATCATGCACATGGCAACTGCTGAGGCCCTCACCACAGGTAGGACTGACTGGCATACTCTGCTCCAGGTGTGTCGGGGTAGAAAGACGGGTGTGTGGCTTCCTGTGTTGATAGCAAACCAGCACCAAGAACCTTGAAGATGGTGCAGCTGTACCCTGACTCTGCCGCTGAAGGTGGTGATTTAATATTCACCCAAGATCTGGAGCCTGACAGGCGGCGGGTCATGTTTCTCCTGTGTGTCTTTGGGGGACAGCAGCACTTCGTAGACAAGCTCCAGCTTCTAAACAGCAACTTTCCCTGGTTTCTTCTGTGGCACACGCAAACATCTGGGGCTGCTCTGGTGGGATCAAAGCACGGGCACAGGTTCAGGCTGCAGAGGATGAGAGTCTTGTTGTAAATCTATTACAAAAGAATTCGTTACCCAGCTTGAAATTTGGACCCACTGAGATAACATTGTTTGGGGATTGCATCCCAATCCAAAGAATTAAGGTGAAAATACCTGTCAGAGTGATTCAGTTTGGAGACTGTGTGTATATGCGATAAGAAAGAGAAGTTTGGATTCAGGAAACCAAAGTTTGTTCAGTAAGGAGCAGATGGTGCTAAGATCAGCAAGACATTACATGGATGTCAGAGAATAGTGCCTATATCAACACAGTGTGTCTTTGCTATGCAAGGCATGCTAATGTCCTGCAGGTCTGATACGCCATCATTGCAAGATTAAGATCTGAGGGCAGCAGTTAAACCAACAGACCTCACTTATGCATTCACCATTCTGTTGTCTGTTGTGAACAAGCCCAGCTTAGTTCTGTGGTCACTGTATAGGAATGCCACCAATGCCATGTCCCTAAATAGAGCTGAAGCACGTTGATAAGATATGGTGTCACAGCTCGTTGAAATGGTGAGGCATCTTTCTGAGCGGGGATAATTATGGCAGCCAAGTATTTATGGATTCTGTGGTCATCGTATGGGAATATCATCAACTAGCCCCAGATAACTAGGGGGAAGTAAAGCACAGTGGCAAGAGACAGTCTCACACCATGGAAAGTGGTGGAGCATTGTCTAGGGTTTCAGAAAGTTATCAATTCCAAGTGTTTATGTCTTTGGTCATTTTTGGCCCTACTTTTCATGCCTTTGTGGTCATTACTATAGCTCAGAGCCTGCCGCATCTCACAACCTCTGGAGAGCATGACTTCCAACAAAACCGCAGTCGGTACTTGTTCTTGACGTTTACTTCCTCAATGCCGTGTGCACGTCATTGCACATCTAATTTCTGATGGGTGCTCTGTGAGTGCCAAGTGCTAGGCCTGTGTCTGTCTCAGGGACTTCCCTGGAGAGTACCTGACCAAGTTAAGTCCTGTGTAGTGACACAGGGTACTTGGGATTAGATCCATGAACCAAAGTCCACTCAAGATGAAGTGTGTGTATTCAGTAAGGTTTGCACCATTTTGTAGTCTTGTTTTTTATTTGGTTTGGTTTGGTTTTGAGAAAAAAAAAAGTGAGTTCCCTGCCAGTCATCAGGAGTACCAAGCATGTGTTGCCATGTTGTGCCCAATCATGGCCTCTCATTGTAGGTCATGAAAAAACACTTATCGAATACCCGCTTAGTTGATCCTCTAGCCCAGAGAGGTTCTCAACCTGTGGGTTGTGACCTATTTGGAGGCCAAATGAACCTTTCACAGGGGCTGCCTATCATGCATATCATATGCTTATATTATGGTTCATAACAGTAACAAAATTAAAGTTATGAAGTAGTAACTAAAATAATGTTATGGTTGGGGTCACCACAGCATGAGTAAGTGTATTGAAAGGTGACAGCATTAGAAGCGTTGAGAATCACTGCTTTGGACACTATGTCTTTTTCTGCTCATTAAAACAAGTTTTTTAACAGCTGTAACCCACTTGAGGGGGCCCTGGGGACATGCCACTAATGGGAGGCACAATTCATAAGGAGCTGCCCTCCCCCCACCTGCCTTACGGGCACTATCCCAAGGCCATGTTGTCTTCACATTCTGAAAGACGGCTTCAGTGTTTCCATTCCACAGGTGAGATGGACACTTTGAGTGGTTGAGTGACAGCACATCCAGGCATCCTGGCCACAGGCCATGTTCTTACATACCCTGTCCACTGCCTAAGGTCAAGGTGGCCACAGAACTATTTATTACAGTGTTGGATGCCCAGTGCTGCTTCCCAGAATGGAACCCCTCTTGACACATTTAAACAAGTGTCACTCATGATTCCACCACCCAGCAGTGGCTATGTGGTCTATAGGCCATGGCTTAGCTGCCACAGTGGTCACAGCATGTGGCATTTGGGACATGAAACCAGAAACAAAGACAGGACCTTGTCAGATGCTCTACAAGACATGTCAGTGGTACGGCACCTGAGACCTCACTCAGGAGTGCAAAGACCAAGGTGACTTCCTCGTGTCACTAGGCAAGCATGTAGTCATGGGCTTTCACAGCAGGCTTTGAGCGTGGCTCATTTCAGGATCATTTGCTCTGGGACTTGGGTTCAAAGCACCACATTCCCACTAGCTACAGCTGAGCCTAGGAAAAGTGGTGAGGTGCTCACACCCTGCTCCTTAAAACCCTCGTGGCTGTGGGAGTCAAACAGAGCTACAGGTTGCAAGACCACCACACGGGTCAGCCCTCTAAAGGATCTTGTGTCACTGAGAGTAAGTTGTTCTGGCTGACTGTTGACTGTCAGGGCCAATCAGTAAGGCAGGGAGGGGAGTTGGGCAGGAAGTGTCTCAGTGTGCAGCCTGCAGGGAATGCAAGACCAGGAGAATCAGGTGTGCCTAACCTGCTTCGACTTTTCCTCTCAGGGACTCTTATAGCAGAGTCAGGGTTAGAGCAGACACGGGTCAGAGCCAGGGTGAGAGAAAAGAATGCAACCTGTGGAATTCATAGGTATTTTGCTTCAAACTCGGTTTTGCTTTTTTTTTTTTTTTTTTTAATCATGTCTATTGAGAGCT